AAAAAAAAAAAATTCTTAAAAAAAAAAAAAAAAAAAAAAACTTTCCTCTGCTGAAGCTGTATGTCTTATTATATTTTATCTTATTGTATTTTTTTGCCAGAGAATGTGTGCACTCACCGGAGAGAGAGGAGAAAGCACCCCACTCATAGGGCATGATCACACCACAATCCCTTCTCCTCCATTTCTCCATCCCATTGAGATTTGGGGCACACACCCGTGCCCAGTATGCTCTTCAAGCTACCAGAGCCAGGGTTCAACTGCAGTCAGCCACATGGAATCTGGCTCTCTTAACTCTTTTTTTGTTTGTTTGTTTTTTTGAGAGGTTTTTGCTATAGGGCGCATGCACTGGTCAGAAAGACAGGGAGACAGAGAGACAGAAAGTGAGAAATCACCCCCCAGAGGGGATGGCAGCAGGCAGGACCTTGAGTAGAATAACTGTCCATAGATGTCTTCTTGTTCTGGGCTGTGTGCGTGTGGGCTGTGCCAGCTTCACCTCCTCACCTCACCTACACACCAGAACTCAATCATGGGGGTCCCCTCCCAATGACTTACCACACCCAAAGACCCCACTCTGGGACACCATGAGAGGATTGAGTTTCCTCCTTCCAGTACCACCAAGTCCCAACATGTGAACTTTTGGGGGATACTCAATCACCACCCACTGAGGCCAAGTTTCAAAATACAAACCTTTGGGGAACAAGCTATTATCTTAATCATAACACTGGCCATTGTCAGGGTTGTAGCTTTCCTCCTGGACACCCTGGAAAGTTCTGAGCTGGAGAGAGCCAGATCTGACTTAGGACTAGGAAGGATCCTCTGCGCTGGGCAGAGGACAGACCACAAGGATTGAGGGTGCACCGGAGAGGAGGCGGGACGGGGCTCGGTGAGGGCACTGCTGTGGTGGCCGGACTGGTGGGAAGTGGTCGCACTGCAGACAGATTTTAACAGTTGAACCAACTGAATCTGTGGAGGAGTTGGGTGGGGGTGCAAGAGAAGGGAAAGTTGAAGGTGTCACCGAAGTTGTCTGTCACACGACCAAGTGTCAATGTCATAGAGAAGTTGGATATGAGCATCTGGGGCAGAGGGGTCCAGCCTCCAGCTATCAGCACACAGATGTGAAGGCCCTCCGGCTAGACCGTATCTCTGTCACCCTCCCCCTCCACCAGGGTCACATCAAAAGGAGGCTGCTCATGTTCCGGTTCGGGGACCGCAGGACGCGGATGAATTGGGTCCACGTGCGTAACCTGGTGCAGGCACACCTGCTGGCCGCCGAGGCCCTCACAGCAGCCAAGGGCTACGTGGCCGTGAGTCTCCTGCGGTGCCCCCGCCCACCTGCCCCCAGGATACAGGCAGGGTGACCATGCCTGGGGGATTCCCAGCCCCACACAAGAGTACTCCCCACCTTGGGGTGCCTGGCTGGACTGTCAGCTCAGGAGGCCGGGCACTGGGGGATGCGGGTGATTATTAGCACTTGGCAGTGACTGAGCCAGGTGCTGCTGCTCCTGAATAACAGGCACCAAGCCCTAAGCATTTGACTTATACAGGGGCTCTCCAAAAAGTTCATGAAAAATGAGTATTATGAAAAACGACACATGAATTTTGAAAAATTTGGGTGTCAAAATAACCTTTAAGTTTATTTTTCTGTGAACTTTTTGAAGTCTCTTGTTCCATTTAACCTTCACAGCAGCTCAAGGAGGGAGAGCCCTTTATTGTCTTCCCGTTTCTCAGTGAAGAAACTGAGGTACAGAGGATTAAGTGACCCTCTCAGGGTCATACAGCAAGTCAGGGGAGTGATCCTAAAATGCACAGGGAATCTTCCAGGTCTCTCCCTAGGCCTAGGGGCTGTTGAAAAGAAAAAGGGTTGGAGCTGCTGGTGGGAGCCATCTGCGATGTGGGGCCCAGCCGGAGGGCAGATGCTGACCGTCCCCTCCCTCATGTCCCCATCAGAGTGGGCAGGCATACTACATCAACGACGGCGAGAGCGTCAACCTCTTTGAGTGGATGGCCCCACTGGTAGGTGCCCAGACACCCACCCTCACCCCAACTGAGACCTGGGATCCCCATCTTCTCTCCCTGTCATTTTCTTCTTTTTCCAAAACAAGAAAATTTCACATTAATTCCCAGCTCTGGCAACGGCGTTCACGGACAACGTTGACACTGCCTGGAGCTGGGTTGTGGCTGATTTGGGGTGGGGGTGGGCTCCCGCCATTTGCCTCAATTCAGACCTGCTACCCACTAACGTTGGCATCAAGCCCTGTGGTCTTCGCGTGTGACCCACCATAGCATGTGTTGAGGTCTGAAGGAGGATTTAGAGGGTAGAGTAAAGCCCGGAGGGAGGCCATGGCTCCTCCTGTAATGTGGCCACTTGAAAGCACCGGCCTCCTCTCTGGGCAGCCCACAGACTCCTCCTTCGGGCCAGGCCTGCCTGCAAGGGGTAGGTAGACCAGAAACCCTGGCCTGGCGCCCCATCCCCAGGGCTCACATGTCCCCTCCTCAGAGTTGCTCTCCAGACAGCAGCAAGAAACCCACAGAGAAGCTGCCTTTTCCTCCAGCTCTTGCACCCCATACAGAGGTTTTGTTTTGTTTAAATAAGTTTTATTGAGATATCATTTACATACCACAGAATTGAAAGCATACACTTCAATGGTTTTTAGTTTATTCGCTGAGCTGTGCCACCAGCACTTAATTTTAGAACAGTTCATTATCCTCAATAAAACAAAATAAAAGCCTGGACTCTTTATCAGTCACCACCCTTTACCCCACCCGCTCCCTGCCAGCCCCCGGCAACCACTAATCCACTTGCTGTCTCTATGGATTTGCCTATTCTGGACATTTCATATAAAGGGACTCATAGAACGTGTGAGCTTTCGTGTTTGGCTTCTACTACTTAATCTTCAAGGTTCGTCCATACGGTAGCATGTATCATGTCAGTATTTCGTTCCTTTAGTAGTAGCATTATTCCCAGAGGGCATGTGCACTTGTCAGAGGGAGTCAAAGAGAGAAGAAAGTGCCCCCCGCTGGGGCATGTCACACCACTGTCCCTTCTCTCCATCCTGTTGGGATTTGGGGCACGTACACACACCAGTGTTTTTCAAGCTTCCAGGGCCAGGACTCAAACCATGGTCAGCCATATGGGATCCATCTCCCTTAACCACAGTGCCAGTCTGACTTCATTCTTTTTTGTTGCCAAAAATTATTCCATTCTATGGAGGTACTGAATTTTGTTTTATCCATCCATCAGCTGATAGAAATTTGGTTTTTTTGGGAGCCAGCCCATGGCTTAGTGGTTAAAGCATTGGACTCCCACATAGCCAACTGCAGTTTGAATCCCAGACCTGGAGACTTGCTTTCTCACTTTCTTTTTTTTTTTTTTAATAATTACTTTTTTATTTAATTATTTATTCATTTATTCTTAATTTGAGCAGAGAAAGACACAGAGAGAGAAAGAAAGAGAGAGGGAAACTGAGAAAGCAAGCCACCAGGACCAGGACTCGAACCGTGGTCAGCCATGTGGGAGTGTCCAGCACCTTAGCCACCACGCCACCTGCTGGTCCCACTTTCTCTCTGTCTCTGGTGAGTGCATGTGTCCTGTAGCAAATTTAAATAATAATAACCATACTAATAATAAATAAATATTTTTTTAAAAATAGGGGCTAGCAGGTGGCATGGTGGTTGAAGTGCTGAACTACCACATGATTAACCGTGGTTCAAGTCCTGGACCTGACAGCTTGCTTTCTCACTTTCCCTCTCTCTCTGTCTCTGTCTCTGTCTCTCTCTGATGAGTGCACATGCCCTTTAGCAAATTAAATTAATTAATTAAATCCTTAAAGAAGAAATGTGGGTTTTTTTACTTTGGGGTATTATGAACAGTGCTGCCCTGAACATGTATGCCTATGTCTGTGTGGACATGTGTTTTCACTTCCTCGGGAATTGCCTGGTTTTACGGTAGCTCTAGGTTTAACCTTTTCTGAAGAACAGCCAGTTTTCCAGGGTGACTGCTCCAGTTCACACCTGAGCCCCAGGGTAAGAGGGGTCCAGTTTCTGCACGTCCTGCCAACCCCTGTATTGTCTGTCCGTCTGACCTGGACGGTGTTTGTGCAAGGGAGAGCTCCATTCAGTCTGTGCCAGCCCAGCTCCCGCTTCCCCTACCACCCTCTGCACACTGTTCTCTTTAATAGCGGAAAAAGCCATTCTAGAAAAATCAGTGACTCGTAGTGTCTTTAGGTATAGGCAGACGTGAGTAATAACTAGATGATGTGAATGACCCTGAGGTAAAAGGTCAGCCCCTGCTTGCAATTCCTCCTGGAGTTTTCCAGCTCAAGGTGGGAGTTTCAGTTCCAGCCTAGCACAGGCTCAGAACGGGCTTCAGGGTCTGCCTCCCTTGGGCTGGTGGGCGAGGGGCTGCGAGGTACCTCTGCTGGCCCTGAGTAGAGGGAGCATGCAGCCTCTCCACACCTGCCCTGGAGCGACCTGGTCTCATCTCAGGCCATGTTTCCTTGCAGTTTGAGAAGCTGGGCTACAGCCAGCCCTGGATCCAGGTGCCTACTTCCTGGGTTTACCTGACAGGTAAGGAGAGGAGTGTGTGGATTAAAGCCCTCCGAGTGCCGGGTGTCCGTGCATTGCTGCATTTGGAAGCCAGGACCGGGGGCTAGGATGAGGCGAGTGAAGCACAGGCCACAGGCTTCGAGGAGGCAGTGCAGGTGCTCCGGGCCTGACTTGGGCTTGCACGGCTGGAGGAGCTCGTACTTCCTTAACTTGTAACCCTGGGCACCTCTCTCCCTTCCCCGAGTCCCGGCCCTGTGTAAACCCTGTCCCACATGCATGGTGGATGTGATTGGGCCCATTCTAACCATGGAGTGACTGAGGCTCTGAAAGGTAAGCGACCTGCCTAAGGTGTCACTTGACAAAGTGGGAGAGGCAGAATTCACCCCCAGGCTTGGCTGTCTTCCTGTGGCCTGTGCTGGCAGACTTCATGCCAGCTGAAAGGAGGAGTCCTAGAGCTGTCCTGTCCCTCAGAGTCAGCCTGAAAGCCACTTTTTGATGTGTGAAGGCTCCATTTTGACCTGTTTCTCCTCTATGGAAGGTCAGTCTGCTCTCCTCCTCCTCCGCCACAGTGTGGCCTGGTGTTCCCTTCACCCCCACTCCTCTAGCATCCCTCTGCTGGAATGCTGGAAGCCATCAGCCTGAGGGGACAGGTGGGCCTTGAGTCTCAAATAACTGTTCCTGGCACTCCTTGGCTGGATCGGCTGCTTTTTGTCTGTTTATTTTTTGGAGTGGCTTTTGTTATAGGGTGCGTGCACTCACCAGAAAGAGAGACAGAAAGCAAGAAATCACTCCCCGGAGGGATGGCCACGCTGCAATCCCTTCTCCTCCATTCTCCTCTTGGGATCTTGGGCACGCACGCATACACACCCAATTTGAGTTTAAGCCACTGGGCCCGGGACTTGAACCACAGTTGACTACATGGGAGTCCAGTGACATAGCCATTATGCCAACTGCTGTTCCCTTGGCTGTATTTTAAATGCATTGTGATGCTTGCCATTGAAAGCTGGGGTTTACAAACGTTTGTTCACCAGACATACTTGGGGGATGTTTCACACACAGCATGACCACGCCAGTTGGCCCTCCTGACCCCCAACCGTGGGTAACGACACTTTGAGAAGACTGTGTACACATCCACGTTTGGTGCTTCTCAACCCTGCTGCACATTAGACCCACCTGGAAGCATTTAAAATGGAAAAAGACTCAGTCACACCCCAGATGAATTCCACCAGGATCAGTGGGAAGGGGCTGGGAGGAAAGCGTTCGTATTTCTTTCGCAGGGCCCAGCGTGTGGCATGCATTGAGAACCATTGCTTTACCGCTCTCTTCCTGCTCAGGGGAGCACCTTGAAATAGAAGTGAGACAGAGAGCAAGAGCAAGTAACATCATAAACATGAATTTGAACCTGGTCATATTTATTTTAAAACTTCAGTTAGCACTAAAGGTGACTTGTGACATATTTCACAGCTAAACGAGGCACCCCAGGGTGTCTGCTGATTTAAAGGAACCCAATGGCTTGCACAGTGAGTCCTACAGCAAAGCAAGTCAGGCCCCAAGGGCCTCGCTGGACTTTGCAGGAGGCAAGGTCCCCCAGTCACTGGTGCTCTCTCCCACAGCCACAGTGATGGAGCATCTGCATCTGGCCCTGAGGCCCATCTGTAGCATCCCACCGCTGCTCACCCGGAGCGAGGTATGGCACGGCTTCCACTTCCATGTCCTGCTCCTTCTCCACACCCCACTGCCGCCACCCTCACCCCTGAGACACCATGACCTAATGCTAGTCCACAGCCTGGGAACCTTCCCCGTGGACTTGAATCTGGGGTTACCTGCTTTATAGTCATCCCCACCTCTGGGCGTCTGCAGCGGCTACACCCCCTGTCTGAAATGTGATGGCTCCAGGCCTAACCCTCATCAATGTTATTCCTTCATAAGCAGCTTATCCTTCCAGCCAGACTGGAAGCTCTCATAGGCAAGGTCCATGACACGTTTTTGAACACCACCAACCCCACCAGCTCTAAGCACACACACTCTTTTTCTCTTTCTCTCTCTCTCTCTCTTTCTCTCTCTCTCTCTCATGCACACACCCACAGAGCCTGGTAGTTTTAGGCTCATAGTTCACGCTGATTGAACTATGAATATAAATACTTAGTGCCTGTTGTGTCCAGAATACTCTTCTCAAATAATCCTGCAATGCAGTTTTATATTTCCTTAGCTTACACAGTTAAAGATAGAGGATGTTTGAATCACCAGACTTTTTTTTTTAAACACTAAACCAATAGGTGGTGTTTGGGCTTATTGGATTTCCAAAACCTTCCTGTCTACTCTCTCTTTTCGTTCCCTCTGATGTTCTCTGTGCTGCTAAATTCGAAAGGGCAAAAAAGATTATGATTCCCATTGTATGGTGAGAAACTGAGCATTAGAGAAATTCGTGCCTCGCCCAAGGTCACCCCATGCTGAGTTTAGCCACCCCGAGTCTGGTGCTGGATAACTTGCTGGATAACAGGCAAGGAGAGGAGAGAGAGAAATGGCGAGGGCGGAGTCCGCTGAGTGGCACACGCCAGGCCCTGTGCTTCCTCTCATTTAGTCGCCACTGCTACGCCAGGTCGTAGAGTCTTATCTGAGTTTAGGATGAGAAATGAGACATGGAAATAACTAGCCCGTGATCACTCATTTAAGTATTTCAGGGATAGAAACCCAGACCTAGTGATTTCCAGCTTAAGTACAGGCTCCTCCAGTGGGTCAGGAATCACATCCGTGTAATAGCTGCCAGGATGCTGCTGCGTTGGGGTTGATGGTGATTGGACTTGGCTCCTTCCCTCAGGTCTAACTTCAGGGTTTCCTCCTTCAGCTCTGGGGCAAAGGGCCCTCCCTTGGGTAAGGTTCTCGCCCGTGGCTCCAGTGCCCTCTGCTGGTCAGCCTGGAACACAACAATCAGCCCTCTCGGCAGCTTTTTTTTTTTTTGGAGAGATTTTCACTGTAGGGCGCGTGCGCTTGCCAGACAGACAGAGACATAGAGACAGAAAGCGAGAAATCACTCCCCAGGGGGGATGGTCACGCCGCAGTCCCTTCTCGGCAGCTTTTCATTCGGTGATTCGCCAGATACTGCTGAGCTATGCCGGGAAGAAGTCTTTACCCCAAGGAGCACACAGTCCAAAAGGGAAGACAGCCCAGAAACTAAGCAACTCAGCACCAGTGATAGGAGCTATACCAGAGGAAAATAAGAGGAACTTCAGAGCCTGTAGGAGGGGCATTTAGGCCAACTCTGAGGAAGCTAGGGAGGCTTCCCAAAGGAGGTGACATGCAAACCTGCTCTCTCAGAATACTGTGTGCTGGGATCCTGCTTCTGCAGTTTAAAGCTGTATCCATTTGTAATAAGTTCTCTCTCTCTCTCTCTTTTTTTTTTCCTAATACTAGCCAGCTGGAATTAGTCTATATCTGCCTTCCCCAAAGCCCTGAACTTACTAGCTAGAGAAAAAAAAAAAAACAAGGACTGGCCTCTCTCCTTCCCCCAGTGAAGTGTCCAAGACCAGGGGTTCTCCCCAGGGGGTGTTCCATGAGGTAGGAGAACCAAAGAGCTGGTGGACTCTTCCCCAGTACCCCAGCCAGGAAGAGGAAGAAATGCAGGCCCCAGCACTACAGGAAGGAGCATGGCCAGAGTCTGGCTTCCCCCTTGATCCCCTACAAATCCCTTAAACTCTGACTTTCCATTTCCAAATATGCAAAGAGGAGACCTGCTAGTACCACCCCAGAGGATTAAATGAGATAAGGCATAGAAAAGATTTAGCCCAAGCACAGTGAGTTCCATAAACAATAGCTGTCATTATTATCCTTGACACTGGTGGACCCCAGGCCACTGGGCCCTGGAGAGCAATCAGTTTTGCACAATTGCATTCGTGTCTTACGGAAACTTAATCGGCAGGAGTGTGACGTGTGCGTCTAGGGCTGGGGACAGGAAGCCAAAGGACATTTTCCCCAGACAGCCACACCCTGGTCACAGGCAGGGAAGGGCGTTCAGCTTCTTCTAACAGAGACCAGGACTGTGTGGGGCCTCCGCAGTCCCATCAGCAGGGCAGGCGGGAAGGATAGTGCAGAGATGGGATCTTTGCTTCCTAGGGACGGAGGAGTGGAATAGGGCGCGAACTCAGCGGGGCTGTGGGGGAGGTGCAGAAAAAGCATCGTGCAGGATGCGCTCTCTAGAAAAATAGAGAGGAAGAGAGGAAAGAAAATCGCCCTAACGAGGGCATCTCAAGAGCAAGACGCAGCCCTGGGTTTTTTGAATTCTGTGATGAAGGGGAAGTCCCGGCCTTCTTATCCCTTTTAGTAAACAACCAGGTGGAGGAGGCTCTCCTGCCACTAGTGCGGCCTCGGCTGCCCCGCCTGTCCCGCCGGTGCACAGCGTGGCCGTGACGCACACCTTCCAGATCGCCAAGGCCCGCGCCCAGCTGGGCTACGCGCCAGCCAAGTTCAGCTTCGCGGACGCAGTAGAGCAATATGTGAAGTCCACCACCCGGCAGCCCCGCGGCTCCACGACACCGACGCTCCTGCGGCTGCTGCTCGGGCTGCTGCTCCTCGGCCTGCTCGCCTTGGCCCTGCACTTCCTAGGTCTGCAGCCCCTGCAGGCCGCCGTGGAACGACTCTGAACGATTGCCACCGCGGCTGCCAGCTGGGCTGAGCCCTCGCCCACCCACGGCTCTCTGGCCAGGACCGCTCCGGCTCCGCCTCCCGGCCTGGCTCCGCCCCTGAGCCATGGCCACGCTCCCGTCCCTCTGTCCTCTGGCCTGCCCTAGCGACTAATGAGGCCCTATCCTCAGCCTGTTCGACGACCTCCTCGTCCCTGACCAATGTCAGCCCTCACCGGGATCCTCTCCTGCTCTAATCTCGCCCCTTCCCTAGCCTACACCCACGTTTGAGCCGCCTCCCCTAGTTTTTTCCCCTCCAGAGTAGGCCTGCTTCGCCTTGGGTCTAGCCCCTCCCCTCGTTTGCCCCCGGCCCCGCCCTCCTCTCTAGCTCCACCCCCGTGGCCCCGCCTCCTGGGCGGGGTCTCACTGGGCCTGCCCGCTGCTGCCCTTCTGCGGACTGTGGACCCTCCTCGCTGCTTAGGCTTCTCTGAACTTGTCCTGACGTGTCTCGGAATCTTGGATTTGACCCATTGCAGTAACGTTGCCTCTGACCCGCCCCGACCCAAATGTGTGGTCCGTCGTTGGTGCAGAGCTCCGTGTGTGGATAGCCAGGATTTGGAGGAACATCGGGACCCAGGCATCTGGTGGCCCAACGTGACCTTTTCGCGTTCCTGATTTACAAAGCTGGGGGTATCTCAGCATAGTAAACACGATTTTCTCCCAAGAGAGCTTTTTCAAGAGTTGGATGCTTCAAAAAAGTACCAGGATCGTTATAATGAGATGAAATAGAGCTTAGGTGGTCTTATTAATATTTTATGATTTAGAATGTTTCTTTTGTTAATGACGGGTAGTGGTGAGCACCATAATCCTTAAAATTTAAGGCCATAAAGCCAGCAGGTGGCATAGTGGTTAAGGGGCTGGATCCTACATGGCCGACTGCAATTCTAGTCCTGAACCCAGTGGCTTGCAATTCACTAGGCGTGTGTGCGTGCATGCCCAAAATCCCAAGAGGAGAATGGAGAAGAAAGGATTAAGGGGGAAAAAAGGATTCAGGCGTGGCCATCCCTGGGGGGGAGGGGTGATTTCTCACTTTCTATCTCTCCCATGACCACACATGCCCAATAACAAAAATCTCTAAAAAAAAAAAAAACTGTTAAGGCCATAAAACTTAATCCATCTCTACTCTCCACAGAAACAGCCTGCCCATCACCCTGGTATCAGATGTGGGTACCAAGACATTGGTGTGTAAATAAATCTCTGTATGTACTGTAACACGCATGGGCAGAACGCCAGGCAAACATGGGTCCTGGCAGAGAACCATCATGAGCCAGCGGGAGAGGGGAGCAAGTGTGCTTATCAGAACCAGCGTGACCAGCACAGGTGTGACCCGCTCGGCTGAGGCAGTTTGTAAAGGAACCAAAAAATGTATGCTCCTCTTTGCTAGGGTGAATTACATGTGTGTGTATGTGTAATTTTTAAAGATCAGTAATGACCCTTTATGTTTGCGTAATGCTTGACAATATTGAAGGGTTTTCATGTGTATTATCTTAATTCTTAGGGCCACCTACACAATAGGGTTTATCATTCTTTTTTTGTTTTTTTTTTTCTTTTTTTTTCCTTGCTATAGGGTGCATGCATTCATAAGAGAGAGAGAGAGAAGGGAGGAAGAGAAATCAGCCCCTCAGAGGGAATGGTTATGCCACACTCCCTCCTCTAGTCTCCTCCGGGAAGGTTCTGAGTTTGCACTGGAGGACCACCCTGAGTACCCAGGGCTGGCAGAGGCTGGTGGTGGGTGGCAGTGCTAAGACCCTATTGGGCATGCATGCTTGGTCTCTGTGTGTGTGTCTCTCCCGCTCACAAAAATGAACTTTCAACTCTCTTTCCTCTCTGACTTCCCTCTCCCAATCCTGAGGAACCTGCTCTTAAAGCAAGAAAAGCAGACTGCTCACAATTATCTTTTAGATGTTTCACTCAGCCAGAACGCAGCTTCTGAAATCCAAAACTTGAGGGAAAATATCTTTGTTTTCTGCATTTCTCTCCTTTCTTCCCTGAGTTTCTGGAAATAAAATGTTTAAACCCTGTACACAAGGGTCATTGTGCCCCTGCCACCACCAAAAAAAAAAAAAAAAAAAACAACTTCCCTCCTCCAAGTGTCTTTGCCCAGTGGAACAGGGGGTGGTCTCTCCATCCCACAAACTGAATCCCTGTGAGGATTTTAGAGTCTGCCCAGGTACCCAGCCTGTGAGGTCCTGAGAGGGCAAGTAGGAGGAGGTTCTAGTTCTCTTGGAGACAGGAAATACAGAAAGCAGAGTTGAGACAGTAGGCAGCCCAAGACAGCACAGCCAATCAGAATGGACTAAGGCAACCGCATAGGATTTTCATTATGGGTACTGAAGCTATTCCTAGACCTAATGCCAGACATCCTACGTATTCTCATCTCTCTCATCTTAAAAATATCCTCCTTTGGGACCAGCATAATGGCTATGTCGCTGGACTCCCATGTAGTCAACCGCGGTTTGAATCACGGACCCCCTGGGTTAAACTCACGCTGGGCACATGTGCATGCATGCCCAAGATCCCGAGAGGAGAATGGAGGAGAAGGGATTGCGGCGTGGCCATCCCCCCTGGGGGGTGATTTCTCGCTTTCTGTCTCTCTGTCTCTGTCTTTCTGATGAGCAGACGCGCCCAAAAAAAAAAAAAAAAAAAAAAAAAATCCTCCCTCAGCCAGCAGGTGGTGTGGTGGTTAAAGCACTGGACATGATTGACTCCAGGGTCCAAATCCTGGACCCTGTGGCTGGAAAATCATGCCAGGCACGTGTGCTTGCCTGCCCAGAATCCTGAAAGGAAAATGGGAGAGAAGGGATTGTAGTGTGACCATCCACCTCGAGAGGTGCTTTCTCTCTTTCGTTCTGTCTCTCTTCAGAGAGTACGTGTACCCTATGGTAAAAATCTGAAAAAGAAAAGAAAAGAAAACCCTCAACTTCCAATTTCTCTTCCCACTACTGCTCCTATTGCTCCTTCCTCTTCAAAATCAGATTTTGTGATGACTGCCCATACTTACATTTCCGTTTCTTCTCAACCCATTCCAAAGTGTTTTTTTTTTTTTTTTTAACTTCATTTATTTACTTTTTAAATTTGACCAAAGAGAGACGGGGAGAGAGAGAAAGTGAGAAAGGAAGCCGCCAGTTCCGGGACTCAAACAATGGTTGACCATGTGAGAGTCCAGCCCTTTACCACCACGCCACCTGCTGGCCCCCAAAGTGGGTTTTATTTAATTGCCAGAGGGTGCTTGTGTATGGGGAGCGAAGGGAACATGCCTCAGTGGTGTGTGGTCACATTGCAATCCCTTCTCTATTTCTCCATCTTGGTGGGATTCAGGCCATCCATGCACATGCACCTGGGAAGTTTCACAAGCCGTTAAGACTGGGATTCAAACCATGGTCAGTCATGTAGGATCGAGTTCCCTTAACTACAAGGTCTCTGGTTCCCCAAATGGCTTTAATCAAAGTCCTCAATGACCTTGTCCATAAACCATAAACCCAGTGGATACAAGGGACTTCAAAAAGTTTATGGAAAGTGGAATTGAAACATTTTGGTGTTAAAAAAAAAGAAATCCATGCATTTTTTTTCTCTTGTAAAAAATTATTTATTTAACTTCATCTATTTATTTATTTATTTTAGTTCGACGAGAGAGAGAGAGAAGCCACCAGGTCTAGGACTCAAACCTCAGTCCAGCCCCTTAACCACCACGCCCCCTGCTGGTCCCTCATTCATCTATTTTTTTTAATTATTTCATTTTATTTATTCATTTATTTTATTTTAATTTGACAAAAGGAGAGAGAGAGAGAGAAAGTGAGAAAGCAAGCCACCAGGTCCAGGACCTGGTGGCACGTGGGAGTGTCCAGCGCCTTAACTACCACGCCACCTGCTGGTTCCCCCCCATGCATTTTTTTTTTTTTTTGGTAACATGTATTTTTCATTAACTTCTTGAAGACCCACCTCATATTTTTCAGTATCTTGTCAAGCCTCTCAGCAGTATTCAACATAGCTGGTTGTTCTTTCCTTTAAAAAACATTCGTCCTGGTCTCTGTGAGCCTACACCTGTCTTCCACATATGTCTCTGGCCAGCCTTGCTTTGTCTTCTTCCCTGGCTCCTCTTCCACTGCTCACCCTTTAAGATTATGTTCCTCAGGACTTTGTCCTAGAACCTCTTCTCCCTCGCTGGTGAGCTCTCTCCAGCTGAGTTCATCCATTCTTTTTTTTTTTTTTTGGAGAGGTTTTTGCTATAGGGCGCGTGCGCTCACCAGACAGACAGAGAGAGACATGGAGACAGAAAGCGAGAAATCACCCCCCCCCAGGGGGGATGGTCACACCGCAATCCCTTCTCCTCCATTCTCCTCTCGGGATCTTGGGCACGCACGCACACATGCCCGGCGTGAGTTCTAAGCTACCGGGGCTGGGACGCGAACCGCGGTCGACTACATGGGAGTCCAGCAACATAGCCATTACACTAACTGGTGGTTCCCTCTGGAGCCTCCTCTGTGTCGTTTGCTCAGAGTTCTCTCTTAACCTCTAGACTTCTATGTCAACCCCTTTCCCAAAAACATCTCATAGTCAAAGTCAATCAAACGGAACTCATCCTCTTTACCATAACCTGCTCTTCATCCATCCTGACCATCCTGAGTCCCCTCCAGGGGGACTCAGGGAGAGAGGAGAGGCATCACCAGCCAGCTGGTGGCCCAAGACCAAAACCTGGCCATCATTGTTGACTTGTGCCTCTTCATGATACAGTCATCTGTATGAGTTCTGTCAGATTCACCTCCAGAATGTCTCTATGACCCACCCCTTTTGTCTCACACACTGTCACCACCACGGTACAAACTACTGTTCTTTCGCCTAGCCAACATCTGTAGGCTTTGGATGGGACCTCCTGTACCTGCAGCTAAGTCCCAGACTGGAATCTGCCACTCTACGGTTTATTAAAACCCTTCAGTGGTCTTGGGGCCAGCATATGGTGTAATAGCTATGTCACTGGACTCCCATGTAGTCGACTGCGGTTCAAGTCCCGGACCCAGTGGCTTAAACTCATGCCAGGTGTGTGTGCGTATGTGCCCAAGATCCCAAGAGGAGAATGGAGGAGAAGGGATTGCTGCGTGGCCATCCCCCTTGGGGGGTGATTTCTTGCGTTCTATCTCTCTGTCTCTCTCTGTCGTTCTGGTAAGCACACGAGCCCTACAGCAAAAACCTCTCCAAAAAAACACAACAATAATAAAATAAAACCCTCAGTGGTCTCCCATTGCCCTCTGGGTCAAACTCAAAGCCTTCCATGTCATGCATGGCCCTCTGCCAACCACTTCAGCCTCATGTCTTGCCATTCATCCACTTCTACTCTGTCCCACTGTCCTGCATCACCTCCACAGCATCTCAGACTTACAAGGCTCTCATTGTCTCTTCTTGGAAAAACCCCTTTCCACCTTCACTTGGCTAGTCTCTCAATTTCAGGCCCCAGTTAATGTCACTTCGTCATTTCCCCTGGACCAGGTTAACACACTTCGTGGTCAGTGCTCTTCACAGGTGCAATGAATGTGATTGCAATTGCTGTAAATTCTGTGGACTCACGAGCACTTCTGCATTGTCCACTATTAGTGTAGCCTCAGTTCTAGCTGGGGTTCTGGCACATAGTAGGCCCTTTATAAATAGTGCTTGAATGAATAAATAAAAGAGGGCCCCTAAACCAAGCCTGAAGACTGAGCAGGAGGTGAATCAAGGAAGTTGAGGCCTCAAGATGGACACCCGCATGGGTCTCATCCTTATACCCC